TGCAAGAGTCAGACCAAATGATTAGATGATTAATATTTTTGTGAGATTCTTTGAGCTGCTGACAAAATCAACTAGCTATCTCAATACTTCCTCGTTTTGCTACATCTTCGGTCCAATTGAAAAAAAAAGGTTTTGATCCACTAGCAGTTACACAATGGATACCAAAATTATAGTACCACATTTGGCGAAGGTAAAAAGCTTTACTGGTAGAGGCATCGTTTGTTGCATATCCATAGTTATATAGCAGGTATCTTCTTCCATTGATGGTCTTTCTCTATCACGTCTCTGTGATTCAAATGCAGCTTTAAAGTTTTCTGTATGCAGATCTGTTTTGCCCTGAATCACAAACACTACACGTGTCACTTCTAGGGTGGCCAAAAGATAAATTGAACTTTGTACAAAATATTTTAGCATAGGAAGAAAGTGTCACTTTGAAAGAATCATCCAGTTTTCTGTTTTCACAGTCTTCGATGTACAACTTATACATTGTAGCCATATTAAGGATAGGTGACAAATATTTTTTATGACAGTTTTTATTACGTGAGTAATGTGACTCTTCTGAGGGGAATTTTTGGATATGATCCATAATGCACGCAATGACATCCTCTTTAATTTTATGAGGTCTGTTTTTGTGTTGACCTCTTTTGTCAGGTGTTGGAGCATTCATTCCTTTTTTCAGTGTTCTTTGCATAAGTTCAATTTTCTTTCGGCTAATCTGATAAAGAGAACATAGTGCACCTCGGCATATGATTTCTGTTTTCATTAAAAGTAATGGAATAACTAAAAGAATATGTTTTTTTCTTTTTTACATTAGTCCTATGTCTTGCAACCGGTTTGATGTTTATGCTTTTAAATTACAAGCATTGTTTGCGTTTATATCTAATGCATAATACTTTTCTAAAATTGCTTTTCTATCTTCTAAAAGAAACTTGTCAGAGCAATCTAATCTGCATTTTTCTTTGCACAGCAATCCAGAATTTATTTCTTTTTTTGACATAACTTTCCCTGTTTGAGAAAGATACTCTTCTCCTCTTCTCTTAAAATTGCAGATTTTCTTCTACTCCACTGATCTGATTCCTAAGACGTTTTCTTAGATGTTTCCTTCCTTCAAACTGAAATATTTTCTTTTTCACTCTTCTCTTTTTTCTTCCAAAAAATGGTCATCTTTTAAATTGGGCAATCCAATATCAGCAGTAATATGCGATATAAATCGATTCTCCGGAGTTAATTGAGTACTTGAGCTTTGGTTTGAGTCATGCCTGGTTTGAGATAATAGCTTGTTTCGAAACGTTGGATAACAGCTCATTACTGATTCATTACTCGATTCGGTTTCGGATATATATTCACTGCAGCTTGTGACATCCTCATCGCTGAAATCTTTATGAGACGATGGAGACTGGTATATATCTAAAAATAAACAATAAAACTAATTAATTACCTCTTTTAAAATAAATATTGATTGCGTCCATACCTCTACTGTACTGGGAATAATTGATATCCGAGGATTAGCTGTTAGATTTTTAATGAATTCTGCATCATTTTTATTTGTGCTAGGTTTAGAACAAATATAAGACAAGGAAACGTCTTAGGGTTATTGTCTATATTTTCGCTCTCTTTATTTCCAAAACTTCTCATGGGACTAATTGATCCATCGTGATTAGTTTCTAAAATCAATGCAAAATCAGTACAAAATAACAACAAAATAATAAAAGCCACTAATTTTCTACCTGGTCTTGTAGTACATGCTTTTGTTGATCCTCTAGAATCTTTAAAATGTATTTTCCTCTAGACGTCACTGAATATATTATGTTAGTAAACCAACAGTTTCAAAAACAGCACTCTTACACATAACCATTGTATAATAAAATCCAAAACATGACATACCTAACCTCAAATTCAAATGTCATGCTGTGGATTCTCGACAGAAAATTTACACTTGACAGTGGATAAAGGTGTCATGTTACCTTGACCCCTTTATCCACTGTCAAAGGCAAAATATGGGCACATAACCCTTTATCACTTGAATATCTAGGTAATTCACAAATATTGTATAATAACGAGACTTGATAATGAAAGAAAAGCAAATCTTAAGCCTATTGAACGAAAAAAACACGTTTTTGAAAAAATGTTACATGACACCTTTATCCACTTGTGTCTTCAATTACTACCTATGGATCCAGGCAGAAAATATTTGCCGGTCCAATAATTGACACATAATATTTTCAGTGCACTAGGCAACCAACTTCACATGCTGGTACGCTGAGAAAACCGCTAGGCAATTCAATACGCGACATTTAAATTATGGTATACTCAAGTTACCAGTGGTCCTGAAAGGGTTAACTGAACCGGTGGTGGAACTAACTCCTGATGCACCAGCGTTCACCTTCAACTCTTCAATTTTACTCTGACTTCATTGAATTCGTCCCATGCAGGTTCTACTTTAGACAATCTACTAGAAACTTCCTGTACTATATTATCGTCTACCTCATTCTTATCTAACGAGTCAAAAAACCCGATTGAGCGTGTCAACTGGCCTTTCAACGTCTTTCTACGATTTTTTAGTGAAGCAATTTCACTCTTTTTTTACTAACTGTACTGTACTATCGAATTCAACTAAATCGCGTATAACTCAGGCTGACTTTTAACTACTAAACTTGCGTATATAACTGACGCTAACTTTAATTTCTAAGATCGCGTATATAACTGACGCAAATCTAAGGAAAGGTTTGCAGGTGGTGGAATAGTCTTCCGTCTTCTGACCTACTATTGTTGGTACGTGGATGCTACCGTCTCGATGCCTGCTCGCTACTTGTAATCCTACGCCAACGTCATCGAAATGGCGGCTACCTCATGCGCCGAAAAGTAGATCCGCTGGTATCCGTGCTCGATTAGGACCAAAAATTTTGTAAAGGATGCCGGATGAGATCCCTGCTTCCTTCATGGACTGTAGTCACCACTTACTTAACTTTTTAGTTATAAAATCAGGAAAAACTCAGAGACTAACGCACCTGCTGCTCCTATCCACATTTCTTTCTTGTCACAATACATTGTTGCCACATGCAACTTAAAATCTTGGGTTACTAGATACGTACAACGTAACCATTTTACAATATTCAAAATGTAATAAAGTTCCAAACATCCCTTTAGTATAAATCCTGGTTAGGGGCTTTTACCGCTAAAATGCATTGCAACCACGGTCTCACGTATGTTGTCACTATAAACAGGCAGATATCTACAGAGCTGCCTTACCTTTATTAGAAAGTTTGGGAACTTAGTAACACTATTTTTAATTAATAGAGTTTGATTATATCAGGCTGAGTGCTCTGAGTTGGGCAAAGTTTCTTGTAAATCTATCTCTGAATCTGAAGAATAATTTTCTTGCAATATGATGTTGAAGGAGTTAAGGAACCAAGATATTTAGCTCGCCGCTGTTGTTCTTCGGTGTTTCTAAAGGCTTCTTTTATGGCTCATTTCTTGTCCTCCCCAGCTAAATGACCAGGTCGACCTGGCTCTCTCTGCCGCTGCAAGAAGATCCTATATTCATTTATTTTCATCAATTGAATGGCATCGGCAGGCAACAGATTGTCCAAGTTCGTCACAAACTCTAGTCGACATTGCTCAAAGACTTCTTGTGTTTTGCTTGAATTTTTTTACAAATCTCTCCAAACCAAGCCACAAATTTTAGTCGGAACTTGTTTTGCTTGACCGCCACACAAAGAAAAAAAATCTAATACTAATGATGAAACCTAATTAACTGTATACTGGGAGCCAAATAAAACAAGATATCTAAAAAAATCGCAATACAGGGTGCCCGCAAAGTTGGGGTTTTCCTTTACAGAAACAACTACCCTTGAAATAACAAAGGTAATGTGTAGTGAAACGAGGGCGACCAAGTAAAAAAAAAATAAGGAAAAAGTACTCACTCTCCAGTTGACGAGAAAGGCTAAGTACGTCTCTGCCCGAAATCATACCGCTCCAACAGAAAATGAAATCAGCTGATGCGCTACCGAGCAGACGCAGGCACGAACAGAGGTAACAAATATGACGGCGTTGCCGCGTTTTCAGTTTTTAGGTAAACGTACCTTATAGGTATTGCTCGAAGTTATCGCCATTTGATTCAAAAACACAGGTGCGTGCACGATGTAGCCAAGCATCGGTGCAGGCTTTGATAATGGAGTCCCTCCCCCGAATGAAAGCACCAACTTGTTCAATTCTGAGACGAAGTTCGTCAACCGTATGAACTTCAGTTTTGTACACTAAGCGTTTCATTTCTCCCCAAAGAAAAAAATCACATGGTGTTAAGTCTGGAGATCGCGGAGGCCACGCTACGGGTCCATTACGTCCGATCCACCTATTCGGAAATAATTCATTCAAAAACTCACGCACTTCGCGTCTAAAATGGGGCGGTGCACCATCGTGCAGAAACCACATTGATTGTCTTACACTTAATGGCACATCTTCTAACAAGGAAGGCAAAATGTTGCGTAAAGAGTCTAGGTATTGCATCCTGTCCAATCGATTTGGGAGAATAAATGGTCCAATGAGCATACCGTTCACCATGCCAGCCCAAACATTCACCGAAAATGTTTGTTGAAAATGTGCCCGACGGACAGCGTGCGGATTTTCTACTGACCAAACATGACTGTTGCGAAAGTTATTCACCCCATTACGCGTGAACGTAGATTCGTCTGTCACCAATATGCACTTCAAAAAGTCCGGATTATTGTCATGTTGATGCAACAACCAGTCACAAAACCGCACTCTTGCTGGAAAATCGTCAGGTTGAAGGGCTTGTACACGTTGGACGTGAAACGGATACAGCCCCTCTTCACGCAGCGTTTGCCACACTTTAGTTTTTGATACTTGCACTTCTCTAGCCACGTCTCTAGTGCTTGTTGAGGGATTCTCGTCTACGCGATTCAGTAGTTCTTCCTCAACTTGCATCATTCGTGGTTGTCTAGGCCTCCCACTGTGCCCACCTCGAAATTCCTCCAAATGGCCCGTATCCCTGACTCTCTGGACCAGGTACACAAATCTGCGGGGCCTTGGATGATGTTGTCTAGGGAAACGAGCTGCATACACTCGCGAAGCCTCTAGCATTTTGAAGACATTCGCCATAAATTAACAACATATCAACGAGTTCATTATTGGTGTATGAGTGTGCCATTATTATTATTATTTTTTTTTTGAAATGCAATCGATAATACGGGTTCGTCTACCTCTACACGCGTGACCGTAACCGTCGGTTGAAGGTTGCATACTGACCTGACACACTGACCCCGGTCCAATTCTGTCGTCGGGTTGAGCTAGTGACTTTGTACCACTCGGTGATGTCGCGGGTCGCGGCTACAGGACGGTATTCAGATATTTTTGATGTTGCAGAGCCCTTTATCTCGATTCCCTTAAGACATTGGTGTATATGGTACTAAGAAAAATTGCTTATGTTTTCAAGATCTACACGTCGTGTAAAGGAAAACCCCAACTTTGCGGACACCCTGTATATTGTCAAAACAAGCAGCACCACTGGAATGCAAGTTATAAAAAAACCCTAGATAGAGGAAAAGACTCTATGTCTGAGACAGAACTACACATTTAAATGACTCAAACTTCCAAAAATCCATGTACATTCTCTGTTACTAGAAACTTACTTTTCTTTATGTAGAAGCAAGAAACGATAAAAATATACCAAAGTGATATACCCTCAGAAAGTTATCCCTTGTTCTAAAATAAGTTATGGCAGCTGAAAATTCAAAGTCATGATTAATGTAATGTAATAAGGCCAAAAGACAGTGACATGTAGGCACTACCCTATATTTGAATTCGTAAAATTCCAAACAAAATCAAGAACACACTAAGAACTTCAGTCAGCACAATCAATATATCAATATCTATAAAATACCCAATTAAAATGATATTTTACGTGCTCACTCAGGGTTTTTATAAAGGGGAAGAGATGGCTTCCGACCAAATCGGCTGCGAAACAGCTACAAGGCAGCTACAAAACAAAGCTGGAGCAGTGTGAATGATGGTTCTCCACAATGGCTTTCCACTTAAAGGAATCAGATATTGAACAAACTTCAGGACAAGCATTAATGGACATAGTCCATTGTATACAAAAGAGAACTTACCGCTGGAGGTTAAAATCCCATTCGAAGATGGACGGGGTAGACCCAAACCAAGCAACTAAACGTAAGGTACAAGATAAAAGGGAACTACTCCATAAACTGGTGCTTGGGGCGTTAATATCCCAAAATCTGAAAGTTAATGAAAAAACGCCCGCACACAACCAAAATCACAGCGGAAAAGCAAAAGTGAAATGGCGCTGGACGCGTCGGTAAGCAATTAAAAGAATGTATCTTGATAGTAAATCACATTGCAAAAGAAGGTAACTTGATGGTAAATCAAATTTTAACAGATGGTATCTTGATAGGAAAGTAAACGTTAAAAGAAGGTTAAATGAATGGCCTTGAAGAAGGTATATTGATAGAACGAAATATCCCTATACGGTTAGTACGTGTAAAGTCACAAGGTGGCGCGCTGGTTACCAACTCTACGAGGGGATATTTTATGAGAAAATTTCGAAGATAGTCATTAATAATACTATAACATTAGTGTCCAAACGATTTCGATACAATACTGAGACGCTGAGAATGACAGATATAATACGTGGGAAAATTATACAATCAATACACTACGAAATTTGACAAAAGAAAATCATTGGAAAATGTTTGGTCTAAGAATCGGTACTCTACTATTAATGAAGAGAAATTCAAATTATTCATAAGTGATCAAAACAGTAAAAAAAAAGATTACGTGATTTTATCACGAGACAGATTATAGAACAAAACTGCTAGTACTTGTCCATTGGAGGGAAGTTTTGCACTGGTAATTTGATGCTTTACGTCCTCTATCAAAAGTATTTCTTTTTTAGAACTGCGTAATTCCTTCGATATGTTGATTGGACGAAAACAGTGATTTGCTAATAAAACAAACGAGCACTGCAATACGTTAGCTAGCGCGCGCATAATATGCAAGTTTTGACATGTTCCATGGCAACTCGGCATCGGTTGCCCTGGCGCTAGGTACATTAAGCTATATTTACAATTGTTTTGACATTGTTCAAGCAAAATTAGATGGTATGCGTTTGAAATTTTGCATAGGGTTCAAATATTATTTCCAAAATTAAAAAGTGTTCTGTTATGTTTATGCAGATCATAGTAAAATGTATCATGAATTTATCTCGTAAACATGAGGAAAGGCTTAACCAAAATGATTTGCATACAAATCAAGAACAATTTAGAAAAATTGTGCCCAGCATGTTGAAAGATGCAGATATAAGCCCATCAAATGTTGTGATGGTATACCTCACAAATTGGAAGTTATTGTGCAATTTCATATGCTTATATTCACCGTATCAATCGATGCTTTTTGTCATTTTCTTTATTAGAAAGGACCTCCTTGCCGAACCATTAATTCATAGTCATTTATAAATATTCATATGTCATCCACGTACATTTGTTGATACATGAGACATGCATATCACTGACTGCTTATTTGTTAGAAAATAAATATGTAGTAAAATAATGATTAATTGAAAACGAAACGGATAGATTTGTTATCATGGACTGGTTTGCAACATTTCGAGTATTGGACCTACAATTAGTTTCGTGAGAACTTTATAGACCATTTTAGGTGATGTTAGACTTAGAGACAGGATATAAAATAAGGTTTGGTTTATTAGAGTCAATCTCGTTCAATACTTCTTACTGCTTTTACATGTTTATAAGTGCTTTATCATGGCAGTATATTTCTTTGGAGTATTTGCACGGATCAATAATTTTTCTAAATATGTCCAGCATTTCACGATGTACATGTCTTTGCTTTTCTTTTCCTTTTTTTACCAGTGCACCGCAGATAAAAGATAATGGTTAAAATCATTCTTTGAAAAAAATATAGAAATTTCACACCCTACGGCAGTCTGTCAACTCCTGTTACTACAAATATTAACTTTTTTTGGATTTTATTTTTACAATGTAATGATGAATAAT